CAATTTGGATTCTGAATTCGATTTTTTTTCTCTCAAGGTACGTCGTTGTCATACCATAGCGTGAAAATTTTTTCCAACGCGACAAGTCAATTTTCTTCTCATTGTGCACATACTCTTCATATTCGCTAAACTTTGCGAGAATCATTTCATCCAAAGCGCTACGAGTTTCGCATGTTGTTCACTTGACAGAATCAGCGGATTAAACGGCTTTTCACTGAACCGTTTGTTTTCCATGTGGCAACACTTGTTGATATTATTCGAATTTTAAAATAGCCGAATGCCACGGTCTCTGATGAGATTACTCTTTTATTCTCGTGACATATGCTAGTGGTACTTAGAGAAAGGCTCTTATGTCTTACCAGAAAGACCAGACGGAAAACAAAAAGGCTATCTGTTTGTTTTGAAAGCATGGCGTTTCTGTTAGATATAGTAAGTAATACGACCAAAATTGCGACTAAGATGTCAAATTAGTGTTAAAGGCTCCTAAAATTCCAAATTGGTATGTTTCGTAGTAAGTTTGCTGTTCTTTACACGCTTAGAGTCTGTATTGTCTTTATCTAGGCGCATATTATACATATCGTGATGCGAGTAGATCACCTGGACAGGCCAATTTTAGGGATTAAACGGGTGTTTTCTAAAGGCAACCAAAAAACAAACATGGTCATCATGTGGCGAATATATTGATAGATCAAATCAAGCTGGTGTTTAGATTTTGTCTTCATCTCAAGATCTTATGCTCCAAAAGTAGATTTCAAAGAAGTTACGCCCACAGAGTTATCATATACAAGGCATTGACAGAAGAAATGTCATATTGAAAAGGTATGACTCAACACAAGTCGCCTGTTAATCCAAGTACAAGTCGAGTAGCCGGTCAAAAATGAAAGAGTATGTGAAATGCGAGTGTTTTGCTCTCAGAGGATGCAATTTTTTCACGATTCGGTTGCGGATTTGACTGCAAGTGTTACGTAGTGCAACGGGGCTGCGTGCAGGATGTTAGAGACCGCAACAACAACGCTCAGAGGTCGAAGTCATGCGCTCCTACCAGGAGCGAAACCGAAAGTCTTTAAAATGTAGGTAACACTGTTAGTTTGCTCTGCCTAATCAAAAACGTAATACTTCCATCTACACCAATATAAACCTATGCGTGTTACAATTCGCTATCTCCCTCCTTGTACACGTACCCACTACAATGTATTCACTATTGTCCCTCGCACAAATTGCCAAGTTCAGGAGTATATTGACGGGGTTGCCGCGCACTTTATACGTGAAAAGCTTCGACTTTCACATTTCGCGCTGTCAAACACACAAAGGTTGGATCCATGCGCTATCATTAGAAGCGAGTCCGAGAGCCTCTAACGTACCTAGAATCATCATAAATGGCGGAGCAACTAAGACAACTATATCTGTTATCTAATGGCAGTATTTCTAGAAATATCACCTTCAAAGAAGAGCAAAAGTATAATACGGGTTAGTCTAATGTCGTGATTATCTTGCTTCGCGTTGGCTGAACATGAAATGTCAAATGGCATGGTGATAACGTCGCGTTTCAACGAGACAATACACGTAATCAATCATCAGAGCTATCAAGTAATCGTGACCTCAAATCCAGATTTCACATGATATGTGTATCATAAAAGAAGAAAGACATACGGATCACGAGCGTCATGTAAGGTGTTCTAACATTAATGGGCGAGCGCTTTTGTGCACACGTGTGATATATGTCAATGGGTTAGATCCACGGCGATTACATGCGGATCTGCTGTTTCAGGCAGGATATTAAATGTTTATTACTTAATGCTATACTATGGCATTCTTAAACTTGCTCCCGGTAATATCTACATCGTGTGGATTGTGACCCATCTGAGATGGTTCATTTTGCCGTCGTCAGCGAAACCGTAATTGGCAAGGATATGAGTCTAGACGAAGTCTTTCGCCAAAATCGCCTGTCAGTGGTCATTGTGTCTCATCGAAATCCGAATTACATTAACAGCATATTGTTTAGCAAACTTTCTTTCAGGTGCTAGACGCCAGTTTGGAACGTCGACCCCAGATCATTCACAGTCAGATGGTCATACCGGTAGTTAGTCTCGAGGTGGAGGATATCTTATTAAGCTCTCTTGTTGTGCTCTAGCGACTTCCCTAGTTTTATTAGATTGCTCTAAAATCACTTAGCTTGCACTAAATTACGCAGTACTTACCGCTTTAGGCTTTACCTTGTTCTACGTCATTCTGAGTTTCTTTGATACCGCCATGAAGTGGATCCGGTCTTGCATGGGTTGGGGCTGTTGACACAGTTTGACTTGTTGATATCACCTGTAACAAAATAAAATATTGTTACACAATGAGCTTAATGCACGATTCTATGGCTGATGCCAGGTTGTAAAAAAGAACGCGCTGATGGCAAAAATCTAAACGCATACAAATATGGAGTGACTGTTAGACGATTTATCTTACCTGCGCAAGTAGAATTTCAATGGAAGAATAAGTTGCAACCACACTACATCAAATTGTTCACGGTTGTGGCAAAAAATGATCATGATATACTTATAACAATTTGCTCTTCTCTTCTCTGTGATCTTGCGATGTCCATAACATCATCCCGCTCGTACAATTCATTTGGATATGCTTTAAGAGACGGGGCAGCATCTAAGCCATTCCCTGTGGCTGATCAACCCTCTGCTCTAGAGCAGAGCAGCGGCTCAGGCTACAAAGATGGTGCCAAGAGAAAACATTAGAAATCAGGTTCATGTCCTATTTAGCCGCATTCCGGGACTCTAGCAAACAGTCGACGTGTCGATGTTACCGAGACATCACGAGAGTCGGCCGCGAAGTGCCGTCCCTCGTGGGCGTATTTCCAACATGTGTCGAGAGAAAAGGAGCGAGTTGTCTGCCGCAGCGCACTCCCCATTAACAAGTGAAGACCATATCGTTGTTAGCCCAAAATTTGGTCATTGATTGTAACATCAGTTTTTTATAGGATTGAGGCTTGAGAATCAATAAGTTTCAATTTTGAAGTCCGACTCATGAATTGTCAAGCATCAATCGACATTCTGGCTCACTTAAACTGGTTCACAGGTGAGGAGTCGCGTCTTTCTCAGCCAGTGTTAAATCAACGGTATCCGTCATGAGGAATACCAAGGTTTTCGACCGCTGCTGCTCTAAGTGTCGGTGCTACTACAGATTAGTGTGGGTATGCAATCAGATAGCGGTCATGAAGCAAAACTACGGTGCTTGTTTTACTCTCTGTAAGATCCACATAGGCGTGTAAGCGTGTAAGGCTCCGTCCGACCCAGGATGGAGAGCAAATGCATAGTCACGGCTTGATGAAACTGGCAGGGATTGGCGTTGAGTTCTATACTCCCAGATGAGTAAGTTGGGGCCCATATGCTAATATCAGCTCGTCGTAAACGAGTTGGACATCATCATGTAATGATTAGTAAAATGTAGCAACCTTTATCCCGTGGAGAATGGGCACGAAGCTCGTTTTTCGCGCAGGGGATTGGCGGAGTGCAGTGAAATGCCTTCTATATTTTGAGCGACTTGGCCGTATGCCTCCAAATGATCGAGATTTATGTCGTACCTATCTATATTTGCCGAGAGTCGCGGCGACTGTTCCCATCAAAATACACATCTGCTTTCTAGCCGAGTGTAATCGAGCGTTGGTCGTCTTTCTCGAAGGCTCGCTGCGTTATGTGACATGGTACAAGAAAGAGAAATCCCGACAAGAAGACGCATTTCGAAGCAGGCACAGCACAGGGGTGAAACTTCAGTGGAAGTTGCTGCTCGTTGAGCAATCGTTACATAGAGAATCGAATAAAGAATGTTGAACTAAATGGGTGGCCCGATATGCTACTTCTGCGCAAAGTGCTATAAATGACAGATAGGAAGGAAGGTCTGGTGGTTTGAAGGTGCGTTTCCAAGTGAATGTATTTTGCTTGTAGCTATGTAATTATGCAAATGGTTGGGAGTCTCATAACTCCTCCTGGTCTACTTAGGTGGAAACTTAACTTGTTTCCAACACTCTTCCCTCGGCGTGCTGTACATCGTCCACGAGGACACAAAGCGCGCGGAGTTTTCCAAATTTAGTCACCGACAAAGCCTTTGTCATCAAATCAGCTTTTATTTCTTCACTCTGTACGTATTCACCTCCAACATTCCGTTTCTGATACGTTCTTGTACATATTTATAGCGTGTATCGACATTCTTGAGTTTAGATGTCGAACTTTCTCTTTTCAATTGCACTATAGCTGCTTAGTTATCGACAAAGAGTAACCAGTTATAGATACCTTGAATGCGAACTTCCTCCAACATGTTGTAAAGTCCATGTAATTCGGTTGCTACGACCGATGCTGCCGCTATGAATTCAGATTCTGCCGTTGATTGCGACACTGATTCCTGTTTTCGACATATCCATCCGTCATTACACCCTCCGACAAATATCACTTCTCCAATCATGGATTTGCGGTCCTCAGTGTCCGCAGCGAAGTCTGCATCGCTGAAGCCGGTGATAAAACCATCAGGTAAGTTTTTAGTTCGCTCTTGATTTCTCATCTTCAACTTCAAATATTTTGTTCCCTGTAAATATCGTAGAATTCTTTTAACAAGTTGTAAGTCTTGTTCTTTTGAATCATGAATATTTCTCTTCATCTTATGAGCGGCAAATGACAAGTCTGACCGTGCAACGCGAAATCCACAACAAACTCCCCGCTAGTGACCTGAATTATTTTGAATGTTGTAATTTAGGGCTGGATTTGTCATATAAATGTCCAGAATTAATCGGAATTCTTGTCATTTTTGCGTAATTCATTCCATATTGGCTTAAAAGGTCATCAATAAGGTTTTCTTGATCAAGAAAATAATCTTCTTCGTGTTTGATGATTCTCATTCCCAAGAACTTGTAAGCTTCTCCCAAATCCTTAATTTGTAAGCTTTTCAGTGAATCAAACAGCTCGTTCACTAAGTCGTCATTGGTCCCAGTGAC